TGTTATTCATTTTCATTCAGCCTAGTTTTTTTTTCCCCAGTCTCATGGGAACTTTTTTTTTTTTTTTTTAAGTAGATTGGACTACGTGCAGATCTGACTGCACTGTAACAAATTCATTGTGAAATTACAGTATATTCCAGGTTAATAATTGCATTACTTTCACGGCAAATACACAGAAAAAAGGCACAATGACAAGGTTAAATATCTTTCAATAATCATAATATTAATATAATCAATGCATCAAAAATTGCATTATTTGTTGTTGTTATTTATAAGCCTGAGGAATGAAACCGAGTTAAATTCAAGAAGAAGAAAAAAAAAGAATTCCGGGGTTCCCCTGGGAAAATTTGCATTATAGTGGATAAATATCACATTATTTGGGTCGCTTAAACCCACGGACATGAAAAACAACCCACAGCAACATTGTTAAAGTAGCCCAATTCCACATAAAACCATGGACTTGGCAACACTGATCAGGTGTGTTAAATATGGCAGACATGCAAAATGTGCAGAGCAGGGGTCCCCAAGGACTAGAATTGGGAACCACTGCTCTAACGGGTAGCCCTTTAATCACAGACAGTCTTTATATATGTATTACAATATAGTTCTCCAGCGAACGCGGGCCTTGTTTAAGAGTTAATAATATACGTGCTGTGTCCATACCTGGCCAATGTTCCTCTGAAAAGCTGCTGGATCCTTGTGAGGCCGAGTATTCTGTAACGGAGCTGATGAGACGAGAGGCATGCAGATCCATGTGCAAGCTTTTATTAATAAACATAGTCAAAAACACAGGCAGCGTTGAACAACAGCAAACAGGTATGACACAGGCAAGACAAAAGAGCAATCCTAAATGGGCTTGAGTCAGGCGACAGCAAACGTAATCCAGAGGGCTTGACAAGAGGGGTAATCTGTAAACGTGAGCTAAATCCAGGCGAGGAGTAGAATTGGGAACCACTGCTCTAACGGGTAGCCCTTTAATCACAGACAGTCTTTCGGAGTGTAATGTTAAAACACCACCGAGTTCATGGCTGAGGTCTGCTATTCAGATTAACTATATATATATATGACCTCAATTTATTAATAAAATAAAGGCTGCACACACCCATACCATAAATGCAAATTTTGAAGCAGTTAGGCCTATGTTTTATTTTTGAAACTGTATGTTTCTAATAAGTAACTAGACAAGGCGGATTTGGGGTGTAAGTGTGTGCAGTTTATGTCATTCATGGTTCCTTTAAGCTGTATTGACTCACCTGTTTTTCTTCACGGTCACAATAGAGTTTTGCAGGTACGACATCAGAACACAGAAGACTAATTCACCACTGGTTCTTTTGAGATTTTGGGTTTGTGTATGAGCTTTAAATAGTTCCTGATGAGAGAATGATTGACAACAGGTGCTGGTGGCTGGAGTCTGAGTGAGAGTGAGCTGAGTGAGGACCTGTGTCCCAAAGTTAAGTGCGCCCACTTCGAATGCTGGATTTGAAGTGCGATTGCGTCACAGTGGTGTGACGAAGACTGTCCCAAAGTGAAGTGCGCACACTCCGAAGGCCTCATTTGATGGCCGATTACGTCAAAGTGTCACTACATAAGCTGTCCCAATTCAGGATGCACCCTCCGATGGCCGCATTCCAAGGCAGATTGCGTCACTGCGGCGCGATGAAGCCTGCCGTAATTCGAAAGCGATCTTCCCTTGTTTTAGGACTATTCTGGAGAAAATGAGCCTGCTGGGGAAAGGAATAAAAAAAATAAAAAAAAGTAAGCAAGTTTATACATTTTTGCTGAAATTCATTGTGCTGTTCCTGTTAACAGGCATGGTTTATTTGCTCTGCCTTAGGATTGCAAGTGTCCTGGGAAAGCTGAGGGAGTGAGCGGCTGGAGCTACTCAGGGAGAATATCAAACTCCTGAGAGAGACAGAGAGAAGAGCACAGGAGAGCAGGGAGAATGGTTAACACATAAATTATTAATTTATTATTAATAAATAATAATTAACCATTCTCTCAAGAGAAAACAGTGGAAACAAATGTGTACATTAAAATAAAAATAAAATTTTTTTTTTAAATGTCACATTGTCAGTAAAACAACGTTTATTTTTGTAGTGTAAAAATGAAATGAATAAGTTGTACTGTATATGTTATTCATTTTTGTAATGTAAATTATTTGTAAATGAGCGTGAGTACTTTCTGTACATTTTGTATTTTTTTGTTATGCATATTCACATGCGTAAATAAAACAAGTAATTATGTACATTGTTAATTTTTTTTTAATGCCGCTTATAATTTTTGCACAAAACATTCTTCTATACATTTATTTTATTGTCCTGTAAATAATGTTTTTTACACATTAAAACCAATTGTTCTATACATTATTATTTACAACATAGCTTAGGTTTAACATCAGAAAAACAACATCGATTTTAAACCCAGCCCTGCAAACCCAAGGCAAACTGCCTCCAGGTCTTCGGAAGGTGAATTACTCCTCAGCGACTCGGAGGACAATGCGGTGACAGTGGAACGAGGCATGTCAAACACTCTGGAGACCACTCTGTATGTACCACCGGCCAGACATAAAAGAAACACCAGGGTCTGGATTGTGGCACCCCGTCCGTGTTGCCGTTCACTTCTCAGAAGATCCAGCAGCCCTGTCAGGGCCTCCCTGCTCAGCCGAAAACCATTAAAAACCTGTCCAGCGCTGCCACATTCAGCTTTATCCTGCAGTACAGGGGTCTGGTCTGATTTAGGGAAAGAAGGAAAAGAGAAATTGTTTAGAACTATGACAAAGTAATTGGTAAAAGAAATATTGAGATACATTAGTAAACTACTTTTAGTAAATAAACTACTAGTCATATTTAAAACCTTAGTTAAAGGGATAGTTCACCCAAAAATGAAAATAAATGATTACAGAATTTTCATTTCTGGGTGAATTATCCTTTAACTAAAAGTATTATCTTGGATATTATAATATACTTAGGCAGTGATGTATGAAGTACCTGAAAGCCATACTCAAGTAAAAGTATAGATATCTCACCAGACAATGACTTTGGTAAAAGTTGAAGTCACCGTTTAGAATATTGCTTGAGTAAAAGTCTTAAAGTATGTGATATTTACTGTACTTAAGTATGAAAAGTATTTTTTTAAACCGTAAACATACGTAAGTATTAAAAGTAAAAGTACAAGTAAATGCAAAATGGAAA